CACTGGCTTCCCGACTGTCAACTGGTTGTGGAAACCGACGCATCCGACTACGCTATTGCCGCCATCCTATCCATTTACCTAGAGGATGGTGAGATCCATCCAATCTCCTTCTTGTCCCGGAGTCTCCATGGTGCCGAACTCAACTACGATACACATGATAAAGAGCTTCTAGCCATCTTCGAAGCTTTCAAATACTGGCGCCACTACCTCGAAGGCTCCGTGGAAGCTGTTGATGTCATTACAGATCACAAGAACCTTGAGTACTTCTCTACTACCAAGGTCCTTACTCGACATCAAGTGCGCTGGTCCGAATTCCTCTCTCAATTCAACCTTGTTATTTGGTTCTGACCGGGTAAACTTGGTGGGAAACCGGATGCCCTCACTAGACGATGGGATGTCTACCCTAAAGAGGGGGATAGTCAATATGCTCAAGTCAATCCTCACAATTTCCGACCCGTTTTCACTCAAGAACAACTCTCCGCTTCACTCCGTGCTACATTCCTTGAAGGTCCTGTCTTACATGCTAGTGCTATCATGGACATCGACAAGCTCCACTCTGATATCAAGAATGCACAGCCATTGGATTCCGCTGCCACCGAAGGCTTCTGACTCGCATCTTCCCCTTCCAACTCCTCTCGGTGGTCTGTGGACGAATCAGGACTACTACGTCTTGACAGTCGCATTTATGTCCCGGACTCCGATGATCTCCATCTTCGCGTTCTCCAAAACAATCATGACACATCTTGGCAGGTCATTTTGGTCAAAATCGGACTCTCGAACTCGTCCGACGGAATTACACCTGGCCACAGATGCGTGAATACGTTTGCCACTACGTTAAATCTTGCACTACCTGTGGACATAACAAAACACCTAGACACCGTCCTTTTGGCTTACTCAAACCATTGCCGGTCCCAGAATGCCTGTGGGATTCCATCTCCATGGACTTCATCGAACAACTACCAGATTCCAACGGATTCACTGCTATCCTTGTAGTGGTCGACCGTGCAAGTAAGCAAGCAATTTTCATTCCTACCCACGATACCATCAACTCTGAAGAGCTCGCTCAGTTATTCGTTAACCATGTGTTTGCTAAACATGGCGTCCCCAATCATATAACCTCTGACCACGGCTCCGAATTTGTCTCCCAGTTCACTCGTGCTCTTGCCAAAGCCTTGGATATGGAGCTTCACTTCACTTCCGGATATCACCCGGAGGCCGACGGACAAACTGAACGTGCTAACCAAACTCTGGAACAGTACATCCGCATCTACTGCTCCTATCAACAAGACAATTGGGATACCTTACTACCCATTGCCGAGTTTGCTTACAACAACGCTCCCAACGCTTCCACTGGAATCTCTCCATTCTTTGCTAACAAAGGCTATCATCCCAATATCACCATACATCCTGAACACGACATCACCTCTGCTCGGGCCTGTGACTTCATCGTTAACCTCGACGAACTCCACCAATTCCTTCGAGATGAAATCACTTATGCTCAGTCCTGTTACAAATTACAAGTGGACAAGCGGTGGTCCCTGGCTCCTGACTTCAAAGTAGGTGACAAAGTCTACCTCAGTTCCAAACATATCAGAACTACTCGCCCTACTGCGAAATTTGCCGAAAAATTCCTAGGACCATTCGATATCATTGCTCAGCCAGGATCCCATTCCTTCACTCTCAAACTCCCGTCGGACCTCCGCTCCATTCACCCTGTGTTCCATGTCTCCCAACTTGAAACTGTGGAGACCAATACTATCCCTAACCATACCCAACCTCCACCACCTCCAGTTGAAGTCGACGGCGAAGAACAGTATGAGATCTCTCAAATCCTTGACTCTAAACTCGACCATCGGTTCCACTGTCCACTCCTATACTGAGTCCAATGGTTGGGTTATGAAGGTACCGATGAAGAGTTTGCCTGGATCCCCGCTACAGAATTCTCCGCAGACGAATACATTGAAGACTTCCACCAACGTTACCCAGACAAACCAGGACCACTATCCAAAGTCACCATCCGCAAAGTCTCCCTCAAACCCTCGCCCATTGCTTCTTGACCTACTCATAACTTATCGGCTCCCTACAGTCTCCGCTCCTCGAATTTCAAATCAAATCCTGGAAAACTATTGCAAATTACCTTCCTAATTGGGAACGGAGCCCATTGGGCACCTATTTCTTGCTTTCCTTCTCCCTCTTACTCACTCAAGCCTACAAGCCAAGATATATATATATATTTATGCCCATCGGGGCCCGCGCTTCAAAATCCGTGTACAAGACAACATCCAAAAAATATATACAAGTCCAAGAAGAGTGCCTAGGATTCCGCGCACACCAACTCTCCCATCACCACATCCTCGTCCACCCTATCTTCCCTTCCACTTCCTTCCTCCTCCTCATCACTCATGACAATAAGCTCCAGCTCATCCAGTGCTGGAACGCTGATGGCACCTGCGCCTGGGCACATCTCATCCCTCTTCTTCTCCTCAGGATCCAATTTCCCTTCAGAATCCTCTACCAAAAACTCATCTGCATCCTCCAAATACCTCTTCCACAATACCCACTCAATTCGACGGCCTCCGAGTGCATAGAACTTGTCCCTTGTGTCCAAGAAATGGTCGCGATGTTTGATGGCCAATCAAAGACCGTCTTTCCCAAGGCAGCCATACCAAACTTGCATGTTGGCGACCTCAAAGAGATCCGCGGCATCGAGGGTTTCGGTACCCATCACGTGGGCATTCCACAATTGGGCAACGTCCTTGTCAAGTCGCATACGCATCGCGATCTGTAGGGCCTCCAAGTTCATGTTCTTGAGGTTTCCAAGCTTGACCTTCGATGCTGCCCATTCCTCCCTAAACTCCTCCTCGACGAAATCCAACAGCCACTCCGGAGCATCACCCTCATGAAAATCGTCGACCAAGTCATCGACACAACTTCCAAGGAAATCCACCTTTCCCTCTACCCTTTCCAAGCCTTCCTGGAAATCGTCCATCTTGTCGCAAAGTTTTTGTAGGAGGTCGATGACCTCACTGGACCCTGTGGATCCTGAACCTTCACCTTGTGGGAACACGCACTTGTTTTTCTTTAGTTTGCACTGTTCGCAAGTACGCCCGTGGCGAATGAAACATTTTACGTTGTCTGTCTTACAACGTCCACAATGCTCTATGCACCAAGTCAGCAAAACAGTCAGAACCCACGGGGAGGCTTACCATTATCCTTATATTCCTTGTCATCTGCCTGCATCTCAGGCTCAGTTTTCAACTTCTTCAACGGCTGCCCCGACGGCCCTGCGACTTCCTCCTCTTCACTCAATACCACTGCACTGGACTTGGCCTTCCTCTTCTTTGAATTCCCTGTGGCCTCCAAATCCGTCACCTTACCCTTACCCTTCCTATCCTTCCTCTGCTTTACCAATTTTTTCAGCGCCTTCCCCTTCGGGTCCTTCTCCCGCTCGTTATCTCCGTCGGACCCGCTACCAACCTTGCTCCCCTCATTCCCATCTACCTTCTCCCTCTCCTTCTCCACCTCCACGGCCTTGCTAGCTTCCACCAAAGCCTTTGCCTTGGCCTCACCATCTAACTTCTTCTTCTCCGTGGCTCTCCTTTCCTCCAAGGCCCTTGCCTCCTCTTCCAACCTCTGCTGCTCCATGGCGGCTGCCTCCGCCCTTGCCTTTGCCTCTGCCTCCTCTTGCCGTTTCCTGTCCGTGGCCTCCCGCTCCTCCCTCTCCTTCCTTGCTTTGGCTTCCACAACCTTCCTTTCCTGTGCCAACTTTTTCTCTTGCCATTCTAACTCCAGAGCCCACCTCTTTTCCTCCTTTTGCTTCTGCACCTTCCAAGCCTCATGGGCCTCTGCGGCATCCTCCCTAGCCTTCTCCATGGCATCCCGCTCATCATAAAAGGCCTCTAGGTCTTCAGGCCGAATATCTTCGGGCATCGGGGCAGGTTCATATGGTTCGGGCATCACGGAAGTGTGGTATTCAACGGTGGACGCCATGGCCAATGATGAGGACAAAACTCAGAAAATGGAAGAGATGGTGGTGGTAGAAAGCTAAGAGGTGAAAAGCCACATGACCAACCTGAAAAAATTCCACGCAGTCACACTCGGCCATCGGGATCTGTGTCCTTGAGGGCAAGAACACTAAGGGGGGGATACTGTAATGAGCATGCCGATGGAAACCGATGTCCACTCAACCCAACAAACCACAGCCCGGAACCCTACAGATTCCGATTCCCACTTTCTATTTCATATTCTATTTCATATTCCTTTTTATATTTCACTTCTCCATTACAATTTATCAATAGCCCGACATCGGTAGCGAACATGTCATTGGACCCCATTGGCTACCGACTGGTAGAATACATCCTCCGACAACCCTAGAATGTAGACCACTCCAAGTAGGAACTAGATCGGACTCCTAACTAGTATATAAGCCTTAGAATTACACTGTAGATACTCAGTTCAAATATCAACTTGGTTCAGCCCAATCTCTCTCTCTCTCTCTGACTCCAAGTCTAAACTCTCGTTCTCCAGTCCACAGAACTCCGATCCGTTGGACTTATCCCTTACCTCGTCTCTGCCACTCCGTGGACTTCCGTCCGTATCCATCTTAGGGCTTCGGCTCAGGGGTGACGTTGCTAATAGCTTCACCTACGCCCGATGCATCCCACAGCATTCTGCTACATGCACTTTCTGCCGCAATCCTATTGGCACGATCCTAACAGTAGCCTCGAATCAAGGCCTCATCACCAACTATGCAAACAATCACTCATACAGTGCTGCTCGCTTCTGCTATCTACTCGCACTTTGGATTGCTCATTGCCATCACCCTCACAAAATCATAACAGACCCTGAGCTTGTCGAAATATTCAGAATGTTGTATAGTAGGGTCGACATCATGTCCCCTTCAACTGTCTCCCATGACATCTAAGATATGCATGCTATTTCAAAGAAAAATATCGCACTGGCTTTGCAATCAATGCACGGATGACTCCACTTTGCCATTGATGGTTGGTCATCACCCAATGTTATCTCATACCTGGGTGTGACCGTTACATGTTGCATCAAAGGTGTGGTTGAGGAATTTCTTCTGGATTTTATTCAGTGTGTATTTTCCTCATAATAAACTGACCTTTAACTGAATGGCTATTTAGTTTGACTGATTCTCACACTGGTGAATACCTCACACACAAATTTGTTGAGGTCTTGAATGATTTTGGTATTGCTCACAAAGTACGAATCTTCTTGCAGCTCATCTTTCCCAGCTGACCTCGTATTAGGCTCTCAGGTGTGTTGCTGATAATGCTGAGGTCAATGCAGTCATGGTTCACCATGCACAGCATCAGATCCCCACTTTCAAAGGCCCAAAATACCATGTGAATTGCCAGAATCACATCTGGGCCTTATGCATCAAGGTGGGGCATCTTCCTGTCATAGAAATCAAGTAGCTCACTGTTTTTCAGGCCTTCTGTTGACAGTTTGCAGCAATAAAAGGTGAGAAAATCACTGAGGATGACAATGAGCAGACAGATGAAGCACCAGCTGATGAAATAGAACCCAAAGAATCTGAAGCCAACCATGAGATTGAGGAGTACCTTGACCAGCTTGTTAATGAGGTTGAGCAAGAACTTGAGGTCAATATGGATGAATCAAGGCCAGTAGTGACTGAAGAGGAGGCGAAGGTTGGACGATATGCTATTCACAAGGTATAGCAACGTTCTTTCATACTATGGTGCACATGTCTGATTGTATTATAGCTGACTCAACTCAGGAAGAAGGGGTTTCACAACTCTCTTCTGCGTGAGGTGATACAGGAAGCTTGTTCCCAGCATGGCTTGGACAAAGTGCTGTGACATCACATTGAAATACCATCGCTGACATGCTTGAGTGAGGCCTTTATTTGCATGATATTTTGGATGACATTTGCGATCAAATCAAGTTCAACCAATCAAGAGGTTTACACTTATGGCAATACACCCTTTCTAATGAGGAGTGGGAAGTTCTTGATCAATGCTCTGATTACCTTGAGGTACATTAATGTTGCCATCTCCTTTTGCCATGTACTGATGTTCTACTTGGACTAGCTATTCAAACATGCCATTTTTGACTTCTTGAAATCAGGCAAACCCCTCATCTTTAAGGTTTTTCCTGCCATTGACAAGCTCACTCGATTCTTGGAGCAAGGTCAGAACAACAAAGAACTCCATGCCACTGTTCGGATGGCATGCTATCATGCCATGCTTGTACTCAATAAGTATTATGCCAAGACTGATGAATCTGTGATATACCACATTGCTATGAGTACATCATTTTCTTTCACAAAAGCATGTTTCTGATTACATGTTTGTAGTTATGCACCCTGGTTATAAGCTGCAGTATTTTCACTCACAAAATTGGCTCAAGGAGTGGATCGATGATGTGGTCAATGTTCTTTGTCAAGAGTGGAATGACTACCAACCTCAGAATTCTAGTTCAGTGCCTGCTTCACAACCAACACAAGCCCAAAAGGTATGTGAACAACCAGTATCATATTCTATATTGTCATTAATGATGTTGCTAGGATAAGAAAAAGTGTAACATCAGCTGGGATAGCAGCCCAGATGAGACCGCAGTCAGCTCTCGGGTCACTAGTGATGTTGATCCACTCGACAAGTACCTGTATAGCCCAGTTCTACAAATTAAAGACCCTCTCAAATATTGGGAATCTCAAGATCCAGAGAGCAATCTCCTGGCACAGTTTGCCTTGGATTTCCTCTCCATGTCACATAAGTCTTATTGATGTTATCGGATCCAACTGTCAAATCTGATTTCACCAATTTAGCCACTTCTACTGGCTGTGAATGATCATTCTTCTCCAGTAACCAGAACATGTCACGATTCCATCATTCTCTGTCTGACAAGTCTGTCTGTGCCTCCATGGTCCTAGGGACCTAGGCATCCATGGGCCTGGTTCCAGAAGAGAACATTATTTCAGATTTCAAGTCCTATGGTAAGCATTGGCTGGTAGAAGAACCAGTCCCAGTGCCAGAGGCTGAAGAACTGTTGCTAGAATCAGAGGCTGCATCATCGGATGTTGACTCTGTGATGGAGGTTGATGCCAAGATGTAATTAGATTGATGTATAGAATACCTTTAGCATAACTGTAGCTATAGCTTTGTATACCTGAAAACTTGCATATACTTTCTGAATGGTCAATCTGCATCCAGCAGATACAGATGTTGTGGCACAGATATCTGTACACAGCCACATCCACTGGTAATTTGGCAGATATCCATTCAGGTACTGGCACAGATCCACAATCCATGCTATGCCTTAGTGGGTCATTTATTCTGCAGAAATTAGTTGACTGACAGGTCAGTTCAGGTTTATTTTTTTTTTTCAAATTCAAGACTCAAAATTGTGAAATCAAAGTCTTGTGGTAGGCACAGGTTTTGTCTGCAATAAGTGTGATTTTCATGGGTTTCAGTATAGCTTATGGAAGTTGATTTAGTGCAAAAATTGGCAAAAATTGCAAGATTGACAGGATGCAAAATGACAACACTGGCTGAGATTTTAAGCCCAGATATGAGTAGCAAGAAGATGGAAAATACTGTAGAATAGTGCATAGTTGACTCTGTCATAGATATAAGAAATTAATGTGTTTTGCAGCTTTCATAACTCATGCAAAAATTATCAGATGTGGCAAAACAACAAGCAGAACACAACATGGTGTGGAAGGGAGTGAGCCAGGGTCCTAGGGTTGAGGAGGAATTATCACCTTGGGCAAGTTCCAGGGTGGTTATTTTTTTTTGCTGTGCTAGATACATGGCTTAGAGGGGATGGTTATGGTTGTGTGAGTGGAGTATGTAAGTGGAGCCAGTCCACTTACAGTGGCCTCAACAGATATTCAGCCTCCTGCTTCAAAATAAAACTTCTATGTGTGAATAGCCATTCTCAGAGAGGGTTCCACCCTGTGACAGAGGTCCTGATGTGTGGTGTTTGGTGGTGACACCTGCTGCATAAGGAGGAATGGAGTCTGAAGAGAGCAGGATGTCAACACCATTGTTCAAGCTCTAATAAGCCTACCCCATCTCATTGACAATGTGTACATATAGAAAGTGATCCAAGTTCTTTCATTGTATTTATTATAAGTTGACTTGCATCAGTACTTAAGTACTCTTCAAAGAGTGACTTGTTGTTCTATAAAGTTGTTTGAGTAGTGTTAACAGAGACTACATATATGCAATGGCAGCTTGCTGACATTCAAATAATTAAAAAAGACCATCATCTAGATAGGTACAAGTCTCTACTTTGGTAGAACAAAAGAATGAAACTGTGTAGGAACAAATCTCTAAAGTTAATGGAATATCAATGCCTTGGGACAACAATAACATTATTAATCATGTCAGAACCACCATCTACTTCCTCTGACAGAGCCTCCATGTTATCACCATGCATAACTCTCTACCTGACATTCTCCTGATAACCTCCTAGAGGATGCTCATATATTTCATTCCTCTCTGGCTGTTGTGCTTCAAGATCATCACTGAGGTTGATGCTAATCATAGAATCCTCTTGTGAGCTTGTCTGAGAGTGACCAGGCCCAAAGTTCAGTGATGATGCTATGCTTCCTTGCCAAGAGTCATCTGGACGAGCATGTCCTGCTGCAACATGCCCAATAAGGAGTGTTGGAGCAATACCCTATATGTGATCTTTATTAAATGTGAAAGCAAAAAAAAGATATGCACGTACTCTTAAAATTGCTGCAAGACTATTAAGATAATAATAGCCTGAACTATTGGAAGCACCAAAAGCAACATATAATATCAAGGATATGGAATAAAGAGCTGAGGATTCAACAAAGACTTCAATCATATAATTATAAACTCTGAGACCACCATTGCTTATCTGTCCAACTCTCCAAATGCGATATATGATTAGTAGTGTGCAAAATAATGTTGTAGCCAGTGAGAAGGAGACATAGAGCATTGAGAAGAGTGGGTTTAATACAAAGCCAATCAGAATTTTTTGGTGCAAGGATAAAGCATTGCAAACTGATGCACTAAATTTAGATCAAAAAAAACTACAAAAGATGGCAGATGACCACACCAATACCAGAAAATAAACAAAGAATGGGAATGAGAACAATTAGCCAGCACTGTCCTCAGACTTGCCAACAACACCAGATCTATAGTTTAAAAAATTAAGTTGAAATCAAAATTTCTGATAAAAACACAACACACCATAGTAGAATCTGCAAGGATATTACTGATAGTGGTGATAATACCTGATCCAAGTATATTTACTGAGATATTGGTCTCTGTATATGTTAAATACTTGGTCCACAGATTTTGTCCATGGTCAACAAAGGCAGAGCATATGTCTGACCATATGATGGCAACATCAATGGAAGTTGTGATATAGAGAACCATAGTAACAATAACCAAGCCTTTTCCTATTGGTTGAGACTTAGAAATATCTGTATACAATTGTCAGCTCAACTACTTGCCAGTTAGATATAATTTATTCACAGATACTCCACAAAGTTACAGCAAGAACACCTGTGTATATGCCTGTGAGTCCAAGGTCAAATAGGACTATTTACAATTCAAGTGGATATATGCACCATGTAATAGAAAATAAAATATGTCTGAGTTCAGTTCAGAGTCAAGCATCTGAGATATTGCAGCCTCAGTCAAGCCAGATGGAAGATCTGTTTGAGCAGCCATTGAAGGTATGTGAAGAGAGTGATAATGAGCCTGGGCAGGGTTTATTGATAAATTGACTAATACAAGTTCTCCTTATTATATACAGCACCCACTCTGAGAAAATTTTGCCTGTAATGTTGAATGAATGATTCCTATGCTCCTAAAAAAGCAATGTGATAAGAAATGAAAGCTTGGTCTAAATTGGATCTTTGATCAACAGTAGCATTTTATGGTGTCATGACTCATCTTGAATCATCAGAAGAGAAGAGTTTCTGTGTATGGGGATCATTTGCTGATGCTGTCAAAACAGTTTTCACAATGAGCCTTGAAAACTAGCACAAGTGTTGTTGATGTTGTTGTGCAAGTCATCCAATTGAGGTAATTAGCATCCAGTATGAGAATCAATATTATTCTCCATAATGTAGAATATTCTCTCATTGGTAGACTGTCATACTGTATTTTTTTTAACAGGTGGCTTGGAATAAGACAAAATGTCCACTTTCACAGATAACAGATCTTATGTATACAAGCATCATGTTGAGAGTACCAGCTAGTATGGCTACTGGAGTCATTGTAGAAGATCATCTCAACACATATCTGCACTTAGGCTCTGGCTACAATAGTATGTAAATCATTTCAGTTGTTGTCTTACATTTGAGACAAAACATGGGAACAAGAACACTACAATCATACCCCAAAATCTTATTCTGATGGTGATCTATTTACAGCACAGGTATGATTGTTCACTCTGAAGATGTTTCACTGTCAGGAATATAGTAGTACTAGTATATGTATACTTGACCAATATGTCTCATGTGTCTCTCAGCTCAACTCCTGAAAAAACCAGATAAAGTGGTAGTGCCATAATGACCTTTGATTATCATTAATCATCACTGTAATGCCATCATGTCAAAGCTAGTTGCATAAGCAGAGATGTTGTCAGCTGCAATGATGGTCTTTTAATATCTCACCAAGTATCTTGCCCCAGACTGCAGTGTCTATCTATCCTCTCTCATTATCCTAATGCTATCCCAGGATACTATCAGCACCCACCCCTTAAGCTTTGGTATTCCACCCAAAACAGTACTCATAACCCTACCAGTGCTTAACAAATTTATGCCAATCAAGTGTTGCATGCGACATTGTGTTTGATTTGATGCAGGCAGGTGAGGGGCAGGTTCAGTATGGGGATGGGGTCTTGTATTGTAGAGGTACATCAACTGTGTGGTGGGAGGTGTAAGAGCTAACATGAATAATCAGTTGTATTCTGCTTAGTCATCTTCAGACCATTCACACTCATGACTGATGTAATTGAGTCTTTGGACGCTGATTCTATTCTATGTACATTTCCAGACAGGCCTCATCTCCCCACCCTCTCTAATTGGTTTCATTTCATAGTAACGATGGCATTCTTCAATGACATATACTCAACCGCCGGCATTTGTCCCTAACGAGCATGCCTTCTTCTAGGTGCCAGAATCTGAGCTGACCACATCCTCGGAGTTGCTGGATATGGATATCATGTCAAGGATGTACATTGACACTGAGGAAGTTGTATACATGCGGGTTGAGGTGGATGAGTTCCTTGATGATGAGGAGTACAGGTGAAGCAGGAGTTGAAGGAGATGCTGTATCAGATCATTGTGCATTTTCTCTCTCTTTCTTTATGTGTGGAGTGTTGATGGGATGGATAGTGCTCAATAGCGGAGTTAGGCCTTGGGAATTTGTCATGGTAGAATGCGTCTTAAAAGGAGGATGCAGAGGATGCTGAAGGTGATGTGGTGATGGAACAATAGAGCTGGGGTCCTTGTGGCTTTCTTTAAGGGAGCATTGCGATGGACTGCTGGTCTCGATCACGGTCCTAGTACAATTGCACACACGAAGATGAGGGCATTCACATGTGATTAATTTGCTGGCTACCAGCTACTACATCACATGCTATCTACCCCCACACATCCCATAACCTCCTCCACAGCCGCGCATACTCTCCCTGCTGTTAAGCACTAACTCTAATCTGAATCAAGGCTGGTCTCTATCCTGTCACTCGCGTTTGGTGATTCAGTGTTAGAGGGGCCTTGGTAGATTGCGAGAAGTTAGGCATCACTTATAGCGAAAGCAAGGAGTTTGTAAGAGTTAGGAGTATATAACCTTAGCTGAAGCTGGGGTCTAAGGCCACAGTGTAGGCTAGCTTAAATACATGTTAGACTCGTACTAAAAATAATGTCTACAAGGGCACGTGCAATGAGAAATGTGTCTTTCAACAAATGAGGAGTGAGAGCACTAAAAGAAGTGTACTCCCAACAAATGAGAGTAAAGAGCACATATCACCTGCATCTGCATGGGACTCCGTCTGTATAGGCTGCATCCCGTAGACCACCCTCGACTGGCGGTCCACTCTCATCCAACTACTAAGAAGCATGATGCCATCAAGAGAAGCATGACAGCGCATGCAGGTCGCTGGTCATCTGGGGGGCGGCAGCATGAACTGGGGTGACTGGCAACTGGGTAACCGGGTAAAGAGTGTGCCGGCAGAATATCATGGGTCTGGAGAGATAAGATAGGCAGGTCCGGGGTTCCAAGAGATAAGGATAAGATAAGATAAGGAAAATAGGGGTAAAACTGTAATAATACCCCCCGACTAAGACTGTCATCCCAACAGTCCTTTAGACGTACTCACTCCCTGAGTTAAGGGAGTTAGTAGATTCCATATCCCATTTGTAGTCCTTGGTTTGTTCCCAAGCAGACATGCCCCATTCTTCTTGAGGGAAGCTGGGGTCGGTCTGAGTCGTTAGAGGAGACTCGGAACGCTCATCTTCGAAGACGTCTTCATCCATGTCTGATGAATAAAAGCCCTGCTCGTCAAAGGATAATGGATCGGTATGATTCCTGCTTGAGACTGGAAAGGAAGTTGAGCTCTCGGTCGCTGAAGAGCCAGGAGATGATATGGTTATGCATCCTCCTTCGTTTTCCAAGTGTCGCAAATCGTGATCCCATACGCAGTCTTCCTTGTTCTCGTATTCCTTGACGAGTTCTTTGGCATTGGCGAGATTGCTCCTCTTGACCCAGGTAGCCTCCTCCACTGGGTATCCCTTCCATTTGACCAAATACTCTGTTATGGTCCTCTGGTTGTGTCCTCGACCGACGATGCGGTCGTGGTCCTGAAGTAGTTCCTCTACTTCATATTCTTCTTTGCCTTCCATGAGTTCCAGCTCAGGTGGTGGAGGTTTTTCCTGGTTGGAAAACTCCGGGGGGACATATGGAGTTAGATATCGTTCGTTGAACTTGTTGTGGATTCTCCATCCTGGTGGTAGCTTCAGTTCGTATGCAGAGGGCCCCTTTTTAGAAATTATTTCAAAGGGGCTGACGCGTTTGTCACCTAGCTTTTTTGCCAGTTGGGGGAGGTGAAGGTTGGTTGAGTCCAACCAGACTTTATCTCCTGGTTGGTACTCCTGTGCAGGGTGAGTGTGTTTGTTGTAAGCCTTTCTCATAACTTCGACAGCTTTATTCAGAGAGTCTTCTGCTTGCTTGCATACTCTCTGGAGGCTTTTGACGAAGTCAGTTACCAATGGTGTTTCCGACTGCCTCACCGCGGTTGGGCGAATTTCCCCATCTCGTCCGTAGACTATTTTGATGGGAGAAAAGCCCATTGCAGAATGTTGGCGGTTGTTGTGAGTGAATGCTGCCCACTGCAGCCATTCACTCCAGTCGTCCTGTTTGTGGTTAACAAAGACTTGAAGGTATTTTTCAAGTTCTTGGTTAACCCGCTCCGTTTGTCCGTCCATCTGAGGGTGATAGGCCATCGATGGATTTCCTTGAATATTCATCATCGTGTATAGCTCGGTGATGAACTTTGAGACAAATTGTGGGCCTCGATCCAAAATGACTTTGGAGGGGGTGACTCCAAATCAACAAATAATTTCGTCGCGTAGGATTTTGGCCCACCCACTTGACAAGAGTTCCTTTGTGCATGGAATTAGCATGATATATTTCAAGAATTGGTCTATGACGACTAGTACTGCATTGTAGCCCTTGGACTCTGGAAATCCAGTAATCATGTCAACTGAGATGTGCTCCCATGGTTGAGATGGTATTGCATTAGGATGTAGCGGAGCTGCCTTCCGCTGTGTGTCGGTCTTTGTCCTTTGACATGCTTCGCATCCTCGCACATAGGTTTCTACGTCCCTTTGCATTTTAGGCCACCAGTAGTCTCTTAAGACTAATTCTTTGGTTTTTTCGATGCCTGGGTGTCCTGCGGAAACATGATCATGGTGATGGGAGATAAGTTCTCCCCATAGAGTGTGGTCGCGGGGGACATAGATATGTCCATTGTAAAATAGAAGGTGGTCCTTTTTGATGACCCCTTTCTCATGGTTGAGGCTTGAAGCAATCCCTCGGTCCCACCATTGGTGATCACTTGTCGCTCTTCAAATTTTGCCATGGATTTCTTCCTCCATTGGCATTATTAGGGCGTGGAAGAATTCTGGCTTCAAGAGGACAATATCGTCATTGTCCTTCTTGCCCTGGTCATGGTCGGCCCGCCAACTTAGAAGGTCAGCTTTCCTATTGGACGCTCCTGGCTTGTGGTTGAGCGTGAAGTGGTATTCTGCTAGTTCAGTAACCCACCGCGCTTGTCTGCAGTTGAGTTTCTGTAGTTTGTGGAAGTACTGCAGATTTGAGTGATCCGTCCAGATCTCGAAATCTTGACGGGCACCCATAAGATAATGTCGCCATTCTTCTAAGGTGATCATTATTGCTAGTAATTCCTTGTCGTAAATCTCATAGTTCCGTTCTGTCATGGAAAGAGACTTCGACAGGAATGCAATCGGGCACCATTTTTCTTCCTGTTCCTGTGACAGGACAGCCCTGATTGCCCCTTTGCTGGAGTCCACCTCCAAGCGAAACTTGTTGTAGTTGTTTGGCATTGCCAAGACGACTCCCATTGCGAATTGGCATTTGAGTTCCTCAAACACTTCTTGTTGTTCCTTTCCCCATGTCCAAGGGTTTTTTCCTGTGAGTTTCATCATTGGTTTGATGATTGTGCTATAGTGCCAGATAAATCGTCAGTAGAAATTGGTGAATCCTAGGAAGAACTGTAGTTCCTGTTTCTTGGAGGGTGCAGGCCAGTCCATAATACCAGCGATTTTTACTGGATCCATCTTAACGGATCCTTCACTGATAATGACCCCGAGGTACTCTGTTTCGAGTACCTCAAACTCGCACTTTTCTGCTTTCAAGAACAACTTGTTCTTGTGCAGAATCCTCAGGACTTCCCACATGATTCTTTGGTGTTCAGCCTTGTCCTTAGTGAAGATGAGGATGTCATCCAAATAGATGGTGACCTTCCCTTGAGCAATGAGATCTTTAAAGATATCATTCATCATCCACTGGAACATGGCCGGTGAATTGGTTAACCCAAAGAACATAACCAGGGGCTCATAGAGCCCTCGGTTAGTGCTGGAATGCGGCTTTGAATTTGTCCCCTTTCTTGATTCGAACGTTGTTGTATCCCCAACGGATGTCTAACTTAGTGAAATACCTCGCATCCTTCAGCTTATCCATAAGGTCAGAGATAAGCGGTAGAGGATAGCGGTTTTTGATGGTTATTTCATTAAGTTTGCGGTAGTCCTGCACTGGCCACAGTTTTCCATCCTTCTTCTTGACAAAGAAGAAGGGAGATGCCATTGGGGATTTGGAGGGTCGAATTCGGCCGGTAGCCAGGTTCTCATCCAGGAATTTGTCCAGTTCCTCTTGCTCCCTCAGGTTCAAGGGGTATATCTTGCAATCCAGACTGGCATTGGCATTGGGAATTAGTTCAATGGCATGATCCCAAGGTTTGCGAGGAGGAAGTTCATTGAAGTTTTCTTTTGCGAATACATCGATGAAGTCTCGATAGTGTTTGGGGACGATTTCCTTGAACGTTTTTGTTTTCTTTCCCTCGTTGGCCTTGGCTGCTAAGTCATTGGCTTTATGCCCCACCGCTCATATGTGAAAGGCTTCTTCGAAGTCTATGATGAGGATGGTATCTCCATCCTCGACTTCGGTTCCCCACTGTTGTTCAGGATCTTCGTCTGGGAGGCAGAACAGTACTTTGCGGCAATTGCAGCATGCCAAAGTTACCGAGCCCGTGTTCCAGTCGATAAGTGGGTTGTGCCTTTGTAGCCAGTCATGTCCTAGGAAGATGGGTGTGGTTCCTAGGTCAATGACTGCTAATTCGATACGTTTGCTGTGGTCTCCAATCTTGAGTCGTACTTCAGCGAATTCAGTGATGTCGCCACCTTTGTTGCGGGTTCCATCTGTGTTGTAGACTGGAGTGGGGTGAGCCGCTTTATGCGTGGTAATACCATGATCATGGGTCCACTGTCAGTCAATAGCGCTTCTGGTACAGCCACTGTCGATCAGGGCCTTCGCGGAGTGATGGGCCATAGTATCAAAGGTCTCTAATTGTAGGGTGATGGTGATATTTTGCCCTTTCGCTCCGCAGACATACTGGGGTGGTTTGGTAAGCTGGTCCATACATTCCAGCTTTCGGTATTCATCTAGGTAGGACTCTCCGACTTGGTGTTCCAAGTCGGCTGCTAGTGGCTCATCCACCTCAGGTAGTCGCCGAG